GTTATTTTTTTTTTTTTAATTTTTTTGTAATTTTTCTGATGTAGAAATTGAACAAAGTTAAGAAATGTCCTAAGGCTGAAGTTCAAAACTCCATAACTCAACTAATCTTAATCGGATTTTGAAGTGGCATACCTCTAAATGTTTCTGGTGCAATTCTCTAAAAAACTGCATTCAAATTTAGAAATTTTTTTTTTTTTAATTTTTTTGTAGTTTTTCTGATGTAGAAATTGAACAAAGTTAAGAAATGTCCTAAGACTGAAGTTCAAAACTCCATAACTCAACTAATCTTAATCGTATTTTGAAGTGGCATACCTCTAAATGTTTCTGGCGCAATTCTCTAAAAAACTGCATTCAAATTTAGAAATTTTTTTTTTTTTAATTTTTTTGTAATTTTTCTGATGTAGAAATTGAACAAAGTTAAGAAATGTCCTAGGGCTGAAGTTCAAAACTCCATAACTCAACTAATCTTAATCGTATTTTGAAGTGGCATACCTCTAAATGTTTCTGGCGCAATTCTCTAAAAAACTGCATTCAAATTTAGAAATTTTTTTTTTTTTAATTTTTTTGTAATTTTTCTGATGTAGAAATTGAACAAAGTTAAGAAATGTCCTAAGGCTGAAGTTCAAAACTCCATAACTCAACTAATCTTAAACGGATTTTGAAGTGGCATACCTCTAAATATTTCTGGTGCAATTCTCTAAACAACTGCATTCAAATTTAGAAATTTTTTTTTTTTAATTTTTTTTGTAATTTTTCTGATGTAGAAATTGAACAAAGTTAAGAAATGTCCTAGGGCTGAAGTTCAAAACTCCATAACTCAACTAATCTTAATCGGATTTTGAAGTGGCATACCTCTAAATGTTTCTGGTGCAATTCTCTAAAAAACTGCATTCAAATTTAGAAATTTTTTTTTTTTTAATTTTTTTGTAGTTTTTCTGATGTAGAAATTGAACAAAGTTAAGAAATGTCCTAAGACTGAAGTTCAAAACTCCATAACTCAACTAATCTTAATCGTATTTTGAAGTGGCATACCTCTAAATGTTTCTGGCGCAATTCTCTAAAAAACTGCATTCAAATTTAGAAAATTTTTTTTTTTTAATTTTTTTGTAATTTTTCTGATGTAGAAATTGCACAAAGTTAAGAAATGTCCTAAGGCTGAAGTTCAAAACTCCATAACTCAACTAATCTTAATCGTATTTTGAAGTGGCATACCTCTAAATGTTTCTGGCGCAATTCTCTAAAAAACTGCATTCAAATTTAGAAATTTTTTTTTTTTTATTTTTTTTGTAATTTTTCTGATGTAGAAATTGAACAAAGTTCAGAAATGTCCTAAGGCTGAAGTTCAAAACTCCATAACTCAACTAATCTTAATCGGATTTTGAAGTGGCATACCTCTAAATGTTTCTGGTGCAATTCTCTAAACAACTGCATTCAAATTTAGAAATTTTTTTTTTTTAATTTTTTTTGTAATTTTTCTGATGTAGAAATTGAACAAAGTTAAGAAATGTCCTAGGGCTGAAGTTCAAAACTCCATAACTCAACTAATCTTAATCGGATTTTGAAGTGGCATACCTCTAAATGTTTCTGGTGCAATTCTCTAAAAAACTGCATTCAATTTTAGAAATTTTTTTTTTTTTAATTTTTTTGTAGTTTTTTTGATGTAGAAATTGAACAAAGTTAAGAAATGTCCTAAGGCTGAAGTTCAAAACTCCATAACTCAACTAATCTTAATCGGATTTTGAAGTGACATACCTCTAAATGTTTCTGGCGCAATTCTCTAAAAAACTGCATTCAAATTTAGAAATTTTTTTTTTTTTAATTTTTTTGTAATTTTTCTGATGTAGAAATTGAACAAAGTTAAGAAATGTCCTAAGGCTGAAGTTCAAAACTCCATAACTCAACTAATCTTAATCGGATTTTGAAGTGGCATACCTCTAAATGTTTCTGGTGCAATTCTCTAAAAAACTGCATTCAAATTTAGAAATTTTTTTTTGTTAATTTTTTTGTAATTTTTCTGATGTAGAAATTGAACAAAGTTAAGAAATGTCCTAGGGCTGAAGTTCAAAACTCCATAACTCAACTAATCTTAATCGGATTTTGAAGTGACATACCTCTAAATGTTTCTGGCGCAATTCTCTAAAAAACTGCATTCAAATTTAGAAATTTTTTTTTTTTTAATTTTTTTGTAATTTTTCTGATGTAGAAATTGAACAAAGTTAAGAAATGTCCTAAGGCTGAAGTTCAAAACTCCATAACTCAACTAATCTTAATCGGATTTTGAAGTGGCATACCTCTAAATGTTTCTGGTGCAATTCTCTAAAAAACTGCATTCAAATTTAGAAATTTTTTTTTGTTAATTTTTTTGTAATTTTTCTGATGTAGAAATTGAACAAAGTTAAGAAATGTCCTAGGGCTGAAGTTCAAAACTCCATAACTCAACTAATCTTAATCGGATTTTGAAGTGGCATACCTCTAAATGTTTCTGGCGCAATTCTCTAAGAAACTGCATTCAAATTTAGAAATTTTTTTTTTTTTAATTTTTTTGTAATTTTTCTGATGTAGAAATTGAACAAAGTTAAGAAATATCCTAGGGCTGAAGTTCAAAACTCCATAACTCAACTAATCTTAATCGGATTTTGAAGTGGCATACCTCTAAATGTTTCTGGCGCAATTCTCTAGAAAACTGCATTCAAATTTAGAAATTTATTTTTTTTTAATTTTTTTGTAATTTTTCTGATGTAGAAATTGAACAAAGTTAAGAAATGTCCTAAGGCTGAAGTTCAAAACTCCATAACTCAACTAATCTTAATCGGATTTTGAAGTGGCATACCTCTAAATGTTTCTGGTGCAATTCTCTAAAAAACTGCATTCAAATTTAGAAATTTTTTTTTGTTAATTTTTTTGTAATTTTTCTGATGTAGAAATTGAACAAAGTTAAGAAATGTCCTAGGGCTGAAGTTCAAAACTCCATAACTCAACTAATCTTAATCGGATTTTGAAGTGGCATACCTCTAAATGTTTCTGGCGCAATTCTCTAAGAAACTGCATTCAAATTTAGAAATTTTTTTTTTTTTAATTTTTTTGTAATTTTTCTGATGTAGAAATTGAACAAAGTTAAGAAATATCCTAGGGCTGAAGTTCAAAACTCCATAACTCAACTAATCTTAATCGGATTTTGAAGTGGCATACCTCTAAATGTTTCTGGCGCAATTCTCTAGAAAACTGCATTCAAATTTAGAAATTTATTTTTTTAAATTTTTTTTTGTAATTTATCCCATTTTTCGTAGAGTGAAAAGGTTTACTATATCCGTTTAAAAGTATGTACAGGCTGAAGGAAACGTTTCCGACCAGATAAAGTGTATATATTCTTGATCTTTTTATATTTACATTTTTTCCCCAATTTGTACCGATATTCCAGAAAATGTTGAGTAACGGGTATCTAATAGTCGATGAACTCGACTATAGCATTTTGTCTTGTTTTGTTTAAGCGCTTGACATCTTGGTTGTCATGGTTGTCTTTAATACTTATTTAACTTATTTAAACAAAAAAATTGAATAAAAACAAATTGTAAAGGCTGATTATAAAATATGAAATATGTCTTAATGAACCAATACGAAAATAGTTTAAACAGGTTAAAGGGTTTGAAGTTGCAAACGATTGGCACAAATAAATTGAAATCATAATGGCAGCAATTCTACAACTTCGAATAAAACAAATAAAAGCAAACAGGCAAACACAAATAGTTCATTAAGAAGTGCAGTGATATTTCAAATTCATTTGTATCGTACCATTTTGCGATTTGCATATTTATTTGAATTGGGGAGACCATTTCTCTCGCCTTCGAAGTCTTTCTCGTCAGCTGTATGGCTGTATGGCTGTTGGGCCCCTTAAAATCTATTCATGGTAAGTGCTTTTCCGAGTTGGTTTGCTCTGTTTAATGAACTGAACATGAAGAAATTATATTTTGCCCAACAAGCATGGAGACACACACTGAGAGCGGAATGTATCTACCAGATACAAATACACCCTGCCACACAGATACACACAGTTTAATTTTTGCTTGTCAAGCTTAATTTGCGCTTGAATGCATTGCCCCTCAATGAGTGCTTGTGCTTGTATTTGTGTTTGTGCCTGTGTGTGTGTGTGTGTGCGTGTGTGTGTGAGCTGTCAGGTTGTTCTGGCCGTTGTGAGTGTGGCAGAGCTTGTATCTGTGTGCTTTGGATTGCATGCACGAATAGCAGGACACGGCAGGAAATGCCAAAGAAAAAGCGACACACTCAAATCCCCTCTGCGGATTCCAGCTGACGAGCGTCCTCCGCCCAGTCAGCATTTGCTTGAAAGCGTGTGATCCGATCCGGGTCATTGCTCATATTTGACTGCGGTCGTTGGCGGTTGTCAGTTTGGCGAATAAGCAGAACAATTACCGTAAATGTCGGTTGGACACACACCTATCTTCAGTGATTGCAGCGCACAAAACAATCCATAGCGTAGGCATTATTTGGCTACATTCTATATACTACAGAATATCTCGAATCGAAAATACCACCGAAATCGGATGGATGCAGGTGTCTAAGAGTAGGCATCAAAACAGTAGTTGCTTAAGCAATTCTAAATGTGCCCATTTCACAAAGTACACACCATTATTTTACATGACCATCTTTTATATATTTCCTACTGTACACTTTCTACACATTAGATATTCAATGCTCATCCGAATGGTGATGGTTTTCGAGCTTCACATCCCGTTCTGCTAATCTAAAATTTAAGCGAGGGATATTGCCAATTCTGCAGCAGAACAAGATGAAATAACACCATCCACTAATGCGCATTGATTTTCGCATTTCCACTGGCGTCATTTTCCATTGTTATCCGTCCATACCTCTTGTTGTTTAGCAACGGCTCTGATGGTTCCGACTGAGAACTAATAGCAGCGGATGTGGTTAAAAGCATTTGCCCGGCTACCTTTTTCATAGACCATTAAATTTGCATTTGCTGACGCTCACTGGCGTGATTGGCTGTCGGGAAGGCTGTTGTTCCTGCCATTTCCATCTCCATCTTCATCTGAACCCGGGGAATTTGGGAAAAGGAGTAAGCGGGATATAATCGACTTGGTTCTAAATACTTAAAGAGCTTGTTGCTAAGACACTTGCATTTCGCCACAAGGCCACAAAGGTATACAAGTCACTTTTAATAAACGAGAGGCGTTACGTTTTTGGAAGACTATTAACCATTGCATTTTACCCGAAGTTGCTTTCTTGAATTTAAATAAACAATGTATTAACTATTTAAATTGTAATAAATATATTTTAGCAAGCTCAATTACATTTACAAATACGAGTATTTTATTGAAATTAACAGATATATAGAGATTATATACCAAAACATAGCAAAAAGCTCTGCCAAAACGTCAGAGGCTTCGGGCGCCTATAATATAGCTCGTGGAAGACCAAGAAGAAACCGCTGATGAGAATTACACTGGAAATTATAAGTAGTGCATTGATCTGAATAGTGGGTTGATTCTTCCGCTTTTTTATCTTTCGCTTAAACTTTTTCTTCTCAACCGGCCTATAAGATGCAAGCAATATCTGCATGCGCTTAATATTATTTATCAATTGCTTAAGCCGGTTCGCTTTTATAAGATAAATTTTATTGAACCTATCGAACTCCATTTCCATTTGCGTCAGTTGTTTCAAATGAGTTCGTTCCAAAATAAAAGGCAATATTTCTAAGTATGGTGAAGGTGTTTTTTCACCACGATCATCTGGCAGAAAACTTATCTTAATTCTCACTATTAGTGCTGGATTCCCTAATCCACAATATACATACAGCAGATAGGATGCATCACAGTGAGCACTACAAGGATTAGTAAGCAAAACGAATATACATCCTTTACGCTCCATCCAAGTAAGATCAAACTTTTTCTTCAACTGCTTAAAACAGCTAAAAAGAAGTTTCATGTGATCACGGTGAGCCCAACGAGGGATAGTAACAGTCAAATTGATCTCGTATGATCGTCTATGAATGACTTCTCCGCCTATGCCATACTTTGCATAATTTTGAAGATCCTTATAATCAAGAGTAAAGTAATTTTCCGCAAGCAGTGGCTTATCTTCTTCTGAGTAGATTGTCAATTCACTCGCCGTATGTCCTTGGCTTTGAACTTCTACCTCTGAGCTAAAGATATCACTATCATCCTTATCCTCTAAAGTGATCCCTTTTTCTGGAAGCAATGCCCCTTCGCCTTCTAAGAAGTTCGCGATTCCACTATTCCTGCGACTGTGAAATTCTTCTTTCTCTGAAGTAAAGGTATCACTACAAACCAGTTTAGTATTATATTTAGGCTTCTTATACGCTGCTGGGAGAAATTCACCTTCTAAGGATATATCGTCTTTCTCTGAACTGAAAATATTAATATCATCTATATAAATGCTTTCTGTCACCGTGTCATCGCTGTCTGGGTCAGAGCTATAGCATTTTTCACTGTCATCCTCCTCTGGATAATTCCTAGGTCTTATGTCTCCGAAGTTGCACAGTGTTATATTATCATATTCAACATTTTCCTCAGGCATCCTTTCTACACTTCTTCTATTGGTTCTGCTACTGAAAGGTCGCGATAACTTTCTTTCGTTACGCTTTTGAATTCGGCTATTTTTTGACTGTCTGGAGCGTCGAGGACATTTTCTTAACTTGTCTAGAATGAACTTATCGATCGGTCTCACAATCGCGGGATTCATTAAAATTTCCCATTTGGGTACCTTATTGACGAGGCAGTATATTTTATTAGGTTGTTGTTGCTGCGTTCCCATATTATTTGTATCACTTTCAGGTGCAATGGTTTCATTACGCAACTTTGATTCATGTCGTTTATCCGAAGATTTGGACTCGAATTGATCAAAATAAATGTTGCTTTGCAGGGGCGCAAGTTTCGGACGATTTTTCATGACCGGACCTCCATAGAAATTATGAACGTCTATTCCCAAATTCTTGATGTGTTTTTTCTGTACGGCAATGTTTTGACCATTGCAATTTAGCCAGGTCGTTGAACCCTCCTCTCTAAGCTTATAGTTTTGGTCATTTCTTACTTTCTGACTGAAGCCTGTCAGTGATGTCCTTCGACCTAGGCCATGGCTTACTTTGCAAGTTGGTGTTTGCTTAATTATTTGACCGTTGACATCTTTCCTATTCCTTAAAGCATGGTTGGCTGTTATCTGTTAACAAGAAGAGCAAAGGTAAGAAAGAAAACTAAATTCCAAATTTAAAACTTGCCGGCATGTTTTGATTGGGTTCTACGTTACTAATGATAGAAAAAGCAACTCCTGCTGCGAAAAATAGGCAATCATAAAAAGGCAGCTGCATCTGTTTTAGGGTACGCAGTTCTAAGCCCCTTTTATAAATTTTGAAATCCTTTTAAAGCTTCACCGTCATCACTGCAAAACGGTTGGCACGTGCCCGATGCATAAATTGAACTGGGATGAGTATTGTCGACATCTGCTTCTGGTCTGGCGCACATGAATCATTCATGAATCGTTTTGGCACAAATGCAAATCGTGCAAATCTTTACAACAAACAAAAGCCGACCCCTCCCTACATCGAGCCCACCCGCATGGCGACACGAAAAACGCGAGCTAAACAATGTAAAATGTTAAATAATTATTTAAAACAGTCAAATGGGAGGGTTGTGCGGGATCGAACAACAATAAAATGTTTACTGTTTACTTTTTGGCAAATTTATGGCCTAATGCAGCTGGCACTTGACCAATACTCTCTCAAAGGCGATTCAGCAACAAAAAAGGACTATGGGAAAAATCATTCACACTGCGGGTTAGCAGTTATGTAAATAACACAATGCAACATAAGTGATTTGCATTATATGCAAATTATAATACCACAAACACATTTTAGAAAATAATGCAATGCTTTAAATGCTTCAGATACTTTATCCAGCTCTTTTATTTTATGAGCAATGATCTCAGATTTTTGATTAAGTTCTACTTTAATAGAAAACTACACATTAGTACGCCCAACCTGTTGTTTCATTTGAAAGAAGATGGCTCGTTCTCGCTTAGAACGCTTACTGTGTTTACCAGTTTAGTAGGCAAATCAAAGGCACCAGAACGGCGACCACAATAATCAGGGTGGCAAACAAATCACGGCATTAAATTAAGTAACACCTTCGGCAGTGCAAAACACAACCCAAGCCTGTAGCAAGTGGAGCTAAGGAAGGAAAGCTGGACATGCAAATGTTTGACTCTGGCACATATGGCCTCCAGAGTGGAAATTTTAAAGCAATGCGAACCAACCTGGCAATTATATTTATGTTCCCATTTACCAAGGGGCACTCTGTTTACTTGAAAGCAATTAAAAGCAAACCAGAAGCAGGAATCCAAATATATACACCCACCCCAGCCCATTCCCCCGATACTTCATCATATTTGTGTGCGAATATTTGCTTAGTTCTGGCCCCAAGATAGGGGTTGAGTAGCTGGGAAAGATGGTCTGGGTGGGTGGGGCCACTCCGGCTGAAAGGCCTCGCAGTAAAATGGGCACTCAGGAAACGAACTTCGTTTATTGTGTCAGGGATATATATCTTTTCTGAATTGTTTGTCTGAATGTACGCTAGCATCCCGGAATGTAGACCGTGCCAGCGAGTCAGAGCGATGCACAAATAACCTACGGGGCCATAAAAGAAATACGTTTACTACGTACTAAAATTGAGTAAACGCTGCTATTACACAGGCTGCGCAGCAGTCAGAGATCCTTGGATCCTTGGATCCTCCTACCAAGTTTTTCGCATTCAGTTTGCGTTTTGTCCCTTTGTCGTATTTGCTTTATACTGCGCTCTATTATTTTGAGTGCACACAACCTGCTGCAGTAAAGAAGACAACACAATTTAGAATGGATCTCTGAATGGGCATACATTCAATTTGAATTGTCCATTTTAGATTGGAGGCTTTGGCTTTGGCATTGGCCATTTGGGCTTTGGCTTCCCTGTCTCATCAATTAATCTCGTTTGTAGCCTTTGCTCAAATCAATTAAGAACTACCACACACCGATTGACGATAATCGAATTAACCCCGTTTTGCCTCAACAATAACAACAGGCGACGGGGTTAGCTAAATCTGCTTATATCAAATCGTGATGGGAACTTGAATTAAGGCAAGCAAAATAACTACTGATTAAACTCAATTTTCACTCACGATTATATCTACTGACGTATATCGCTTTAGACCAAAATTCAAATGCAAATTTCGACTTTAACAGTCATCAGCTCATCCAAAGCTTTAACTTGAGGCTAATGGAATGGAATGAAGAACATCATCCAACCACCTGACTTGCCACTTTGCCAACATTTACATTTGCACAACAGTTGCGGGTTCAGATTCGAATTCGAATTCGGTGAGGGCAAGAAGTGAGATACAGATACAGTTCAAGATACATTTTAAGCAACAATCAAAGCTTTGCATTCAGGGCATCTCCCCTGATGGAAAAAATGTTCGATTTCAAGTGGTTTACCACATAAATTTGCACTTTGCTTTGTTTACAAAGCTATTGAAGGAAAAAACAGAGATAACAAAGAAATTGGGGAGCAAGTGAGACTTGCAATTGAAAAAAAAGTAGATTGGAAAGGTCTACAGGTTATTCCCAGTTAAGTCTGGTTACCCAAAGCAGTAATTCCAAAATAAAATGTTCAATCAGATATTTGTTACAAATAGTTAGAAATTTAATAAATATTTTTTAATTGCAGTGCAAATTTAATACCCGCTTGGCGTCTCTGAAGTATGTTTTGTGCCGATTGAGGTGGAGTTATTCTTAATCATCACCATGTTGATAAGAAAGACGAGCTAATCCCAACAGGCTGTTTCGTACTGCCGTCCACATTGGCTGTGTCCTTGATAGCGATTGGGTTTATTGGGGTTTGTTTGTTACCTTAGGAATCGATGGGACTTCCGTAGGTGGACCAACAAGTTGAGCACTCATCTCTTTGGGATCGTTTGTTAGATAATGGCGCGAACGGTCGAGCAAGTCTTCAGACTCCTTGACATGTCTTAATAAAACTGCTTTCTTCGTGCTGCACAGTTTCCTGCCATTTTTATCGAGTCTTTCAAGCTTCTTATAAATATTGTGCAAGTCCAAAAATATTTCAGCTATGTCCCGATCCAGTGCTTCCATTTGCTGACTATATGTGTCCAGGGATTCCCGCATATTCTGAAACTCCATCTTGATCGCATCATAGCCCATTAATTTGTTTTCAATCTTGGTCAGAATTGCATCCACAATGCTATTCACAGTTATATCTTCGCAGTTTTGTCCCTGTTCCAGGGACCTAGCCTCCAGAGAACTGCTGGTGAAATCGAGAAGAGATTCCTCTTTCTGCAGCGCGATATCATCATTTCCAGGAGTAATGTTTGTTTCAGACATATTTTGTTGGCCAAAGCGCTATTTCAATAAATTTTGTACACAATAATTTTGTAATCTTGTTAATTATTTTGACAGCAAAATCGAATAATGACTTTTGAAGTGATTAGTTTTCTTTTCAGCAGGCCTAAGGATAAATATATTGAAAATAAAATTCAGCGCACAAGCCATTACCTTGCAATGACGTTGGTATTTTTTCATGTACAGTTCGTGTTAAATGCAATTTTCTACCCAAAGCCCTGGCAGATTTCGCTGATTTATTCCTGGGCCTAGGGGCCTAACTCAATTGCCTAAATGGGAAACGGCCCGCTATTTCCTGCATGCAGTGCGCAAGCATTCACTTAAACCCACTCATCTGGTTCCGACTCGCTTCTGCCCACAGTCAACCATATTTTGTACCATTTTTATGGAGCATGCAAAAAATTGCCAGACCAGAGTAGAGCTGCGTGGAGTCGAGCCGAGTCGAGTCAATTCGATTCGAGTGGTCGATGGTCTATGGCGATGGCTGGGTCCGTGGAGAGTTCAGCGGGACGCTGAGCGCTGTCAACAATCACGAACCAATTGTCTATAAATACCAGCAGCGTTAAAGCAAACTCATTCGGAAAGGGCCGTGGTTCGAAGTCCTGAATCAGAACCGGGCCCACTGGGCACCCTTGCTGAAATGGGAAGCCCCACTGCGACTTCCGCCCTGTCCTTTTTCATTACATCGCATGTAACTTCCGGTTTGTTAAAGCGACACGCACTGTGCTCTTGTCCTCGTCGTCCTGCTCCTCCTCCTCCTCCTCCTCGTCCTCGAGCTGGATCCAGGCTCTAGTCCTTTGGCACGGCTGCTGACAACCATGCCAACAGAGGCCCAAACCAGAGAAGGACTCACGAATGACCGCACAGCGATCATCAGTTTTATTACCACTGCTTAGGGGAGGATCATCAAAAGAACTAAATCCTAGGACCACTTAAAAGATTTCTGAAGGGCAGAATTCTAAGAGCAAATATCCTATCTTAAATCAATCACTAGTAGCAATGGATTGATGAGCAAAAATATTTAAGCATAATAATATAGACAGCATTCAGTGCTGTAACTTAGGCATAGCTCTGCCATGTAAATAACGCCACCTGTAATTATCTCAAACATGAATTTCATTGATAATAGCTGCACAATTTAATTGAAACAGTAACTTTATATGCGTCATCGAAATACGCATCACGCAATCATCTCTAGGAGCAACGCACACTGAATCGGCATTGAGCAGGCACAGCTTGGTTCGGGTTTCCGTGTCCCATCTCCTGGTGGCGCTGTCCGGCCCATTCCCATTCCCATTCCCATCTGCGAATTGCGATTCCCGTATCGCCGTATCCCCGTAACCTCGGGCACGAGTGATTCAGTGTGTTTGTCCGCACGTTTAGAACTGGAAATGACAAATTCACTGTAGGTGGGCCCTGCAACGGGATGGCGCTGTCCTGTTCCCAAACTCATCCCGCTTAGCTCCGCCAACACGTTTGCGACTCAGCAAACACCATCATCAATTTCCGTGGGGAAATCACACAGAATTTTTGCACAAACAAAATGTTTGGTTGGTCAGCGGCAGCGGCAGCAGGAGCAGCTAAAAAAACAGCAAAATGCCCACGAATTTTTGCATGTGACTCTGCGGTAAGTTTTTATCTTCCATATACCAGTTGGATTTCGAACTGCGGCTTAGCCCGCGGCGGAATATTGAATTAAAGAGCGTGTATATATGGAGTACGGTTCATTAACGGTCCAATTCATCAACTCTTGTTGGCTCATGTAACGCGGAAATAATTATTATCTACTTACAATGAAATGATTATAAATAATGCTCGCAATTACAGGTAATTGATTAAAAGTTAACCTTATTTTTGAGTCTTAATAACATATATTTTAATTATAAATTTAAATCAAGTTAAAGGTTAAAGTTTACGAATCGAACCCATTTTAAAATAGCTCTTGTTTCATCTGTACGCTTAGCTGGGTCCTTGGGTACTTTAATCCTGCATAACCCACCACTTGAGCCACTCCCAGCCAAGGCCCAATTAGGCGCAATTTTGGCTCATTCGCTGTACCCACTTGTTGAGGACGAAAAGACCATCAAATTATGATGAGGAGCGAAGTGGGGGTACCAACTTTATATCTTTGGTAGCTCCTGCCGGATGTCGATCTTCTGCTCTTGTTATTGTTGGCCATAAGTAATGCTGGCTCGGCTAATTTGCGTTTTACTTCTGGTGAAGCGTAAAACTTTCAAAAAGTCATCAAAAGTTTTTTTAGGCGGACCCACCTAAGTCGAGGCACACAGCATTTTGCCAGCTCTCTGATTTTTTCCTTTGCATATGTTAACAGGGAAATTTCCAACGCTCGCAACTTAGGCACAACTTTTAAAGTCTTCTCACTTTAGAGTCCATTTAAGTGGGCATAATAGAAGTTCGGGTTTTTAGGTGGGGGAAGTCGGGGCGCTGTTTCAGCTAATTAGCCAATGCCAATGGGAAACGCACTAAACGTAAACTCGATTCGATGCTATCGGGTTGCGACTACTTACATTCTCCCATCCAATTGCTTGTTTCAGCTTCGCTCACTCTCGCCTCTTGTAATTGCAAAAGTTTATCTTTATCTCGGCCAACGCAGCAACTCGCAGCAACTCGCAGCAGCAGAAGCTACATCAGCAACAACTAAAGCGGCAAATGGTCGCATTAAAGTAATTACTTTCGCTGCCCTGTTCGCATGCAAAGCCAATGCTACATGAGACGAAACCAACGTCGGGAAAATGTAATGAAGAAAAGGTATGGAGCTGTGTAATACCCATTGACCAAGAGTTAACCCCTTCCTTCTTGGTAAAAATGTGCTCGACTTGAAAGTTGGAATTGTAAATCGCCTGTATAATGTTATAACTTATTCTACAGCTAACAAGAATTTTCAGCAAGTATTGGGCAGGTTTACCGCCAATTTACCAGAAACGTGCATGCAATAAAGCACAAAAGGGTAGACTACAACCTGGTAATGAGTTTGGTTGTTCTCTAATTTGTTTTACAGAAGATCACTAAACTTAGGATGATAGAACCAGAGGTCAAATGATTCCCATATGGATATTGGGTGAGTTTTCCAAATACGACTTATCAATCAAAGGTTTTTCCATATACATCGAAATAAGCTATTTATACCATCTGAACCAAGGACTTCCTAGGAATAAAAGTGGAGAGATATAAAAAGCTGTGCTAGCAGGATCTGAATGCTTCTTGACGAGTTGGCTCCTTGGCTTGGTTTATTACCAACTCACATTCTCCTCTGATGACAGTCCTCCACTGGCACAACAGCTGTGCCCGATACGAGGGCAGTCTCACTTAAGAAGATTAAAGACTATTCGTTAGTGGGACTGCGAGTCCAGTATTTCCCATTTTCCATTTCCTTTTTCCACTCGCCAGCGCAATTTTCAGTTTGCGGCTTTTCGCGGTCTGCCTATATGTCTGTATATAACCACTGGTGACAACTTCATTTGTTTGCGGCGTCTCACACAATCAGTTCTAAAAGCCGCAAAGTCGAATTGCTTTTTATGTTGCTTTTCGATTTTCCAACTGGCAGAATGAGCTGCAGATAACCCTTACAGGGTCTCAACTGCAGTTTAATATTTATTAAGTTATGGCATAAACATGTATTTAGTACATGCTGCGAACTCGGGAATCTGCCTTTGCATCTGCAAGATGTTTGGCTCACCTCAAGCAATATTCCTAAAAAAGGAGCTCAAGGTTGTATCTATCCTGTCATCGCAAACAATCGCATTCCCCTGGCGACATCCCTTACCGCCCATCCACTTATTTGCAAGTATCCCTGTATTTTCAGCTCCCTCCACTAACACATTTATAGATGAGAACATATTTCTGCTGCATTTGTCGCCATTCCGTTCGTCAGCCAAAATGCAAATATCGCACTAAACATAAATCGAAGCATTTTCAATAAATTCCCACAGTGTCGACGACGTTTCTCTAACTCTTACTCTGACGACCCTCCGCTCTTCCGTTCTATGTTGCATCGATGCGAAGCGAAAAATAATAAAAACTAAAAAATATTCAACGAAATAGCGAGACACGAGAACAATGTGTTTCACTATTTGCAATTGAATTTGGCACCCTTGATTTGCTGCACCCCACATTTCCCCCATCAAATGTGCCAGCCATCGACTCCTGAGTTTTATTTGCAATCGATGCTGTTTTGGTTACAAGAAGAACTGAGCTGTTCGAACGATCTCCGTTGACTTCCCCTTTTCTTATTTTTGTATTGCGATGATAAGAGAATCGAATTAGATTTGGAAAGTTAATATATAATGTATTATATTTATATAATTTTGTTAACTTTAAGGTAAAGGTTGCAGAGCATGACCAGCACAGTTGCAATCATGGTTCTCAAAATTTTTATAAAATGTTTAGTCGAACTTTTCTTCTGGTAATCATATTATTTAATATACCACCAGTTCCTTAGACTTAAATGTAAATTAATCCAAGCCCATTACTCGTACAAAAGTGTTATAAAATTATACCACTTTGCCAATTCTGTCTCTCTTCGAATGCTCGCATATATGCTGCTCTCTTATATGCGTGTTTTTAAGAGTCCTGTTGCCGGCTTTTAGCTCCAGTTGGCCCGTCTGTTGCTCCACTTATTGGCTTCGTTGGCAGCCGACTTTTCTTTGGCCTACCACAAGCAAAAACTTGGTCAACACTTTGCGCCTCTCCACATTCAGCTGTTTCTCTAGACCCGCTGAATCGGCTCTCTTTTGTCCCCACTTTCTCTCATTTCCCCGAATTTTCCTCGTGACGTTTGGGCCTTGTTTGCCGTGTCGCTCCGTGTCAGTTTGAGTTTATGTCTTCATCGAATTGGGTCTGCTGGAAATTTATTTGCATGCCGGTCAGGCCTTGCCCCTTGGAGTATGCTCTATGCTCTATAAATTAAACATAAATCAGCTGCACGGCAAATCATTTGATTTCATTTGACGAAGCTCCCTGCTTTACATTCTAGCTGGTGACACTTAGACTTGTCTCACGTACTCCATGCATGGATGGGCCCTTGGGTCCGAAGTCGCAAATGACTGCAGTCAGTCAAAAAAGGGGCAGCAGTTGATGAGTGAGTGTCAAGGGTCACAGGTCATTGGTGTGGGCTGTTCGAGTGGCACCCCAATGGGTTGAGACGGCATTGATAAGCAAATAGCCATTTAATGGGCCTAAAATGAATAGCCACAGTAATTAGAGTGATTAGCTGTGAATTAGGTTATAGGGTACGTTTTTTGTGTCGTCTACCACGCTTATTATTATCACCCAGATAGTATAAAAATCGATGATGACCCACCATTGATAGATGCAGCCATCAATATATAATATTTCCAGCCAAGATTACGATGCTCCAAAATGAAAAGTTTTAAAATAAAAGTGAGAGGATGGCTGTGTGGAAATAAGAGCTTACATTGTTGGCCAGGTCGACGACAAAACAGACAGCCACGTGTGGCCATAAAAGCAGGTACACCGAATGCACGTTAGAATTCGAGTGTATTTCAGGTTGTCTGACCTAGATTTAGTTTGGCTTGTTTATCACATAGCAAGGCTCGAATTTTATTGATCTCAATTTAATTTAAAAAATTGCAAATATTATTTAATATATCACTTTATACATGATTACAAATTGTTAAGTTTATCTTTTTAATAGCCATGCGCGAGGCTGCAGCTTATTCTTAAGCATAACTGGAAAAACCGGGTTACATATATTCAAGGGCAACTACCTTATCACCAAGCTATGATAATACATACGAGTATATGAGTGTTCTCAAATTCTTTGAATTGTACGCGCGATAAGCAAGTATAAAATCCCCTCATCCTACTGATCAGCAGGCATTCCGGCAATGGAGTTCGCTGTAAACGGAATGTCATCCATTCTACTGCTATTGGCAGTTTTTCCTCTCCTGGGATCAACCCAATTCCTTGATCCGGAATGTGGTATCCGGTCTTTGTTGCAGGTTGTACCTCGTGTACTTAACGGCAAAGTGGCGGATAGAAACTCTAGTCCTTGGATGGCTTTTTTGTACACTTCAAGTAATCAATTCCTTTGCGGCGGAAGTCTCATATCTAACAGTGAGTACATGTACATTTTCCTAAAGAACGGTTCAATTGTGAAGAATCTGAAAGTCCTATACAGACCCTAATGCTTCTGTTGTTCAAGTTTTATCAATGTTTCGATCGCATAAAAGTTGTGTGGTTTCCGAGTTGCAAACATTTTGAATACATTTTTTTTAAGGACTGGTACTAACTGCAGCTAACTGTATTATTCCGAATACTACAATGTAAGTGATGTTAAAACAAAAAACTTATAAATCGTGAAAAAATCACACTTTTTGCTTGTTCTCTGCAGCATTGTTGGTCTGGGCGCGTTTAATAGAAAGCTAAAAGGATATATAGAGGAGCATCAAGTGGAGAGGATCTTTCTGCCCCGCTTTTACGATCCAAACACGCATGTCCATGATATAGCCATCATAGAGCTGGTGGACAATGTAGTTTATAAAGGTAGGTGTGCTTCAAATGCTATACAAATAAAATTTAGTCTTTTATTTTTGAAAAGACAACGTAAAGACCTTCAAGGCCGGATGGATTTTTAACTTATTTTCTTAAACAGCCAACATCAGGCCTCTTTGCATTATATTGGATCCGACGTGGAAACAGCTTATCGATAGCATGACACTGTTAACTGGTACAGGATGGGGAAGAACTGAGTCGATGCCCTCCAGCAATGAGCTCAGGATACTTAACATTTTGCGTCAGCCATCAACAAAGTGCGTTTTCGGCGTCTTGAGCAATCAGTTTTGTGCCGGAAATCGGAATAGCAGTTTTTGCATCGGCGATACTGGTGGTCCTGTGGGAGTAATGGTTAGATATAAAAAAGTCAAACGCTTTATTCAAGTCGGTATCGTCATCACTAACAAAAGGTGCCTCACGCCAAGTGCATTCACTGATGTCATAGGTCATATCAACTTTATCCGTCGAGTACTTTTGATCCACAAAGGCAACAATATGATCCAGCCAACCCCAAAGCCAGATACAGAGCTTGAGTTCGATTGGAACAGTGTTATGCCTATACACTGGTAGTTTTACAAATACTATTCTTTAATAACATGAATTTGTTGGTCTTAGTTATTTATTCGTCATTGTTCAAAATTCTTCGAAAATGTACTCCCAAAACTTACGAAAAACAAAAAAAAAAACCTAGAAACAGATGCTGCAAGCCATTAAGCTTACATTCAATATGAAATATTTTAGCCTGCAGCCAATATGGTGGTTAACCCCTTAATAGAACGTGGAAGTATTTTTTGCCACGTCATAGAAAATACGCAATAAAATCAAATCATGCTCAAAATTTGATGAATATTCATGGCATTAAAAGCTCTTGAATTATTAACGACGAGCATATTCAGTTGGCCAAATGCTCTTCGGCATAAGCACTTGCCCATGCCCATCCACACCCTCTATGTGGTAACCTCATGCATATTCCCGTACTATCATCTCTGTCGATGGCAGAAAGTGTTCAATAATGAATTTTTGACAATCCTTCCCTAGCGGCGCAGCTCGTGAGCTCGAGCAACTGGCAGAAGGTGGAAAATCTGCAGAAAAAAACGAAAAAAATGGTTTGTGAAAAGGGGGCTAACAACCCTTAAATGGGTCTGCAATTTCACCTTTACCAGGACTTTATAGTGAAGAGTCATTGAAAAATGCCTTTGGCAGAGTGCATCCGTCTGATCCCCAAAACTGAAAAGAGCAATGCAAGTGAAAGGGCCAACAAAGGCGCTGATTAGACGATGGAGGAGACAAAAGAAGGAAAGTGTCATCCTGGATGCATGTTAATTGAGACAGAGGGTTGGGATTTGTGTCGAGCGTATGCAGAATGATTCTGTCTGGAAAATTCCTCTTATTGCTCTCCTGACAGTCGCAATTCTAAGAAGTCCTCGACTTGCATGTGTTTTAAAACAAATTGTACTCTCACGTACTTATCGGTTTCTTAAACTTTATGCGAACAATGACGTTGGGAAACTCAAAAAGTTATTTCTTGTCGAGCAGCAATCTATTTGTTTTTATTATTTTTACTGCTTATGTTTCCTTTTTTCAATGTGACGCGCAAAAAGCTAAACTGTCTAGACGGCGTTCGGTGTAAGTACTCATAATTAAATAGTAGACTTGTTCGATTTTTGAATGGTGTTCTGAACCTTTTTTTTGCAATGCAAAGTACATAAATCAAGAATCATGTTTTATTATTTAATAAATTACCGCTTTGGACTTAGTAAGTGCAATGAGAATGGAGAGTGATTCATACAATATAAGATACGCAATAAAGATAACGAGAAAAGCCAAGTATGCGTTTTATGCGGACTAAAATCTTATTTGAAGGCCAAGTGAAGTGAACAAGCCCATTTGATAAAGAACCATAAAACGGATATCAAATTATGACTTAATTATTCCTAAACGCCTATTACCACAAGGACACAGATGTTCGATGTCATAATGTTTTTCTCCCCGCAGATAACCACTGCGGAAAGTTGATTTCGCAGCAAAATAAATAGCACTGAAATATTTGCTACTTGAGTAAATTGGTCACGTCGTCGGTTTCAGGTATAAAGCGGATATTGTAAAATGAAATTGATTCTATTTAGCCCGCCTCTTTTCGTTTGGTTTTTGTAGGTTTTTGCTTTATTCGCATAATGAAAAGCCGAATATATATATTGTGGGTTGAATAAATAAATATAGATGTTGGTTCATCATTCTCATTTTCATCAAGAAAACGTTACAAATTTACGTGACAGATTAGTGAGTGATAGATTGTGTACCAGGAAGCAGAAAATGGCAGACGAGGAATTTACTTTTAATAAATTTTAAATGTATTTCAAAGCTTAACTAGGAGAGCTTTGAGTCCTGCCGTTGAGCTTGTGATGTGTGTTCCTATGTAAGGACATTTATCAAAATGTTGAATACAAATTCATAACAAATAGGTAAAATTGAGGTAATCAAAAATGGTTGACATCTATAGTGGTCATAAAATAGTATTTAATTCAACAGAAAAAGTTAAGACAATAAAATCCTAATAAAACAATTTGTGAAACAAATTTTGTTTATAATTTTCTTTAAAGACACATGATTGGAAACTGTCAAAAAAAATTGAAAAAATTGGAAGAAATCGGTATTTATTTCAAAGTAGACTTATGCACTATTATTGATTGTGCATTTCAATTGCCCAAATTTACATTCCAATTATTTACTAATTTAAATAAACTTATCAAGGCACTTAAAGTGTCGATAAATATAATTTGAAGAAAACATTATGGCTGTCAAAAGTATGTCCTATCAAGACCAACAACTAAAACCAGATGTGGACTAGTTTCATGCATTAGAGTACATCATTTTAAGTTTACAAGAAGTAAAGGACTTTCCGCTTTTGTTCGTCAATTAAAAGCATAACCTACCATTCGCTTCAATTCTATTCAACCACTGTCAACAAGCACATCAAAATTTAGAGCAAAAGAAGACCGGGAAATCGTGGAAAAACCAGTAGCAAAACAACGTGAAAAACACTTTCATAAATGAAGGGGTAGCCGTTGGAGGAAGCTCAACAATATGTTGCAATTTTCTACCAGCGCGTTGCAACAAAAGTGAAATTCTAACATCACGTAGGATGTACAAGCAGCAAAAACAAAGAAAAAACGGAAAGTAAGAGCATCAGTATCGGAAAAAGCCAGAGCCACGTATGCGAGCGTTTGGTGGCGTTTCCTCTGATTTTCCCGAGGTATTCCCATATATGGCCATATCGCTATGTGAGTGTGTGACGGAGCTGGTGTGTCCATCGCAGTTGCCGTGACAATCCCAATCACAACAAGAACAAGGACCCCGCAGGCAACTGCAGCAAACAGTGAAACGAATCCAGTCCTAGTATCACGATAATTGGTACTACGCGAATGAGTTTCTCCTCACATCTTCCACCAGGCAATATGACCCACGCCAACGGCGGCGAAACGAGCCAAGAAAAAAGGACCAATCCAGATATTCATTTTCACGAAAGGCAAAAAAAATCCCTGACTAGTGATCCACATTTGATAAGATAAAGTATAAGATTTCCGATTTTTACAATATAAAGACAGTGATACTAGTATGTTCAATATAAATTTCAGATAACGTGAAACAAAAGATAATGCACAGATCACAGCTGCAAATACTTTTAGGGTTAATCGTGCTTACACACTTGGCAACACAATTGGCAACCTTCCTAGTTGTGTCTAATCTGAAAGACACTAAGAGTTAATTTTCGGCGGTGTTATTTGGGCCAAGTGCCAGAAACAAAGGTGTTGACTATGCTTGCCAGGCTGCTAGACAATAAATGTTTGAGATGTTAACGAAAATTAAATCTTTCAGTTTAAGTTTAAGTTAAGTTGCATTTCTAGGAATTACCTATTTTCCACATTTTAAACATCTTCAACATTACACTAAATTGTTCACTCTATACAAAATGTCCACGCCTATACAATTATATATCAATAGTTTTAGGGGCGTTAAAAGTTTACCACATTCAAATGGTTTGTCCCAGCAATTTCTAGGATAAGGATGTGCGAGAGTTGAACAAACTTGCTATGTAGGTTGTTGTTTTGAAGTCGAGAAATCCTTTTCCCTGTTTTTGTAACAAATGAAGCATTTCGCGTTATGTTTTCTTACTCCCTAAAAGCACCACACAATTTACACACACATCCGCGAACTCAGGTTCGCCAACTGTCAGCAAATCCTTTTCATCTCACATGGACACGTCAAAAACCACATTTATTATGCAGGGATGCAACTTGCCTAGGAAGTTGACGACGGAAAGCTTTTTAGTTCGCGTCTCTATGTTTTTAGTTTGTGCAGGTTGGAGTCGTAAAAAGAGTGTGTATTTTCTTATATTCCGCTGCTTGTACCAAATTAAATGGACTTGCATAGTGGGAATATCGTAGGGACTTAAGTCGCATCTGAGCAAAAGATGGTTGATTAATCTCTCTTTGCATGAAAATATATGAAAACAAATTTATATTTAACCTCTAGATCATTTATTATTTGGAGGCTTAACTTCAAAATAATTTGTACAAATTTTTATATTAAATTATTCATATCATTATTTCGTATTTATATTGGTGTTTTATGGTCCTATTTTAATTATAGCTGTCTTGCGATAAGCGCAAATTATTGAAAATAAATGTTAAATGTCAAATGTTGTCGTTTCAAACTGTCGCTTCCCTTAAATGATTTAATTAAAGAAACAATTTGCATTCGATTTTAAACGATTTTTATATTCATTTTAACTTTTTCCACGACAACAATTACTGCTGCAAATAAATTACATTAAAATAGGCAGGGGAAACTGAACGATGCTGTAGACAGCGAGAATTTAATGCCAGTCCTGTCGATATAAGTTCATCAGAGGAAGCCCAATGTTGGTTGCGTGACTTGAAAATATTTGTTATAAAATGTGTGGGCAAAGTAGAAGCCAATCGTAGCTACAAAAGGAAGTCCCTAATGTGGGGTAAAGCCTCTAAGAAAATGCAGTTTAAATAATTATTTTTTTCTAGCATTTATCTTTATTTAGTATTAAGTATTTATGTTCTGCAACATCTGAAACTAGTTTCAGAAACCTGAATATCTCGAGGGCTGTGTAATATTCGTTCGTAAAAATCCACAAACACATTTCCGCTTCTGAGTGTCTCTGATGGTTATGTTGTTTCAGTTGTCTTTTTAATTTGCATATCAATGGGCAGCGATTGGACCCGTTTTCCTGGCCGCGCCCAAAATGCATCCATCAGCATTTCCATATGTCGACATCGTCATCGACAGGAGCGGAAAGGACAACACTTTTGCCCAGGAGCGAAGGCAATCGGGCAATTTGTTGTTGTCAGTTGGCACCTGTGAAGTTGTGCGCTGCACTGCGCGCTTTAAATTCATTTAACCGCAAAAATGTCAAGCCGCAAAAGAGTTAATGCCACGCCCAATGGCCGCAGCTTCCCCCTTTACGCCAATGCTGAATTTAATTACTCAAGTGGCAGGCGCATAAAAAACGGCCGGGAAGAAGTTAGTACTGCCAGCGG